TTCGGGTCCGTAACACGTTACGGGTCCCGTAATTTGAGCACAAGGATACAGGTGAACATTTACGGGTGAAGACCCAGTGATTACGGGTGGATTTTACGCGGTGCTGGAGGTGAATTACGGGCGCATGTAACCATTACACGCAAACTTACGGGTGAAGACCCAGTGATTACAGGTGGATTTTACGCGGTGCTGGAGGTGAATTACGGGCGCATGTAACCAATTACACGCAAAATTACGGGTGAAGACCCAGTGATTACGGGTGGATTTTACGCGGTGCTGGAGGTGAATTACGGGCGCATGTAACCAATTACACGCAAAATTACGGGTGAAGACCCAGTGATTACGGGTGGATTTTACACGGTGCTGGAGGTGAATTACGGGCGCATGTAACCAATTACACGCAAAATTACGGGTGAAGACCCAGTGATTACGGGTGGATTTTACGCGGTGCTGGAGGTGAATTACGGGCGCATGTAACCAATTACACGCAAACTCACGGGTGAAGACCCAGTGATTACGGGTGAATATTACGCGGTACTGCAGGTGAATTACGGGCGCATGTAACCAATTACACGCAAAATTACGGGTGAAGACCCAGTGATTACGGGTGAATATTACACGGTGCTGCAGGTAAATTACGGGGCATGTAACCAATTACACGTACAATTACGGGTGAAGACCCTGTTATCACGGGTTACACAGGCAGATATTACTCTGCGATGTGACGCTTACTGCATGTTAAATTAACGATTGGTGAATACTTGCGGCAAGCCTCAAAATGGACGCACACCCCTTGTCAAAGTAGCCTAAGTCTCAGTGTGCTTGTGGACCAAGGCGCTTTGGACTCACAACGCCAACCAGCCAGCCTGACAGCCTGATGCATTCATCTCAACCATCGTCCTCGAAAACAGCGTTCATGTCACCCCCCATACAGCAAGTGCTCGCCAAGGAGTCTCACCACCACTTGCAGAGTTCGTGCCTACTCCTACGGATGAAACCCCCGATGCATGACATGTACCGGCACCTATTGGGATTGGTATGTCCCATCCTGCCTGGGGCCGACCTGGTGTGTGCACCCCCAAGCGCTCATCACTGCTGCCATGTTACTGCTCACTTCCACCACTGTCGCTGCTGCCACTGCCACTGCTGCTGCTGCTAGCTTCGCTATATTTGCCCGGGTCCTCCGAGCTGGACTCCTCCCCAGCGCCAGCGGCTAGGACCTCTTCCCTCACAGCATCCGACCCACCCTCCAAGCTACC